CATTTAGAAAATTTAAAAAGAAGTTCAGGAGACATTAAAAAAATAAATAAGTAAGAAAGTTATATTCGCATACCCTATACCCTACCATACACTATGCTTTCCGCCTTCTGATCTCGAAGTACTTTTATTTCCTACCCATATCGCTGGTATTATTAAGAAAAAATTAAACCCCATTCCATCTGTTAATCCATTTTCCGGCAGATAGAATATCATTTCATTTGAGGAGTGTACCAAATAGTTTTAAAAACATTCCGTCTTGTTTGTCCTATGATAAATAAACGCAAAACCTCAAAATAATCAAAAAAAAAAAGAAAAGAATTTTAATTACTCGTAACTTTATGTGGACACGGCAAATTGTTTCCATTTGCGTCTATTAGTAGAGCGTTTCGTAAAGTAGAAAAATTTCAATCTTCTAACTTTAATAATTTCCGAGTAACGAGCAAAAAATCCAAAAATTTTTGTTCAAAAAAAATGGAGTTGCGTTCAGTTTACGCTCCAATGCGCCTTTCTGCGTTGACCAATTCGGCCCATTTTCAGTATTTTTGCTTCCTGCGTGCAGAAAGAACTCTCCTCGCCGGCCACACACCACCCAGGCAAACAGACACACAGAGGAACAGACATGGCTAAATCAACTCGAAATTTCACGCTGATCACGAATATATATATCTATATATATTTATGGGGTCTTTGAGGCTGCCTTTTTGGTGTTACATACATACGAACATTAAGAAAAAAAAATTAAATGAATATGCGCCCCGATCTTGCAGTAATGGGTATAAAAAACTAAAATTGGAAAAAAAAAACCACCGAAAATGTTCAACAAAAAGACTGTAAATAACGAGATTTAATAGAAATTATTTTTTCTCGATACAAATATGTCCAAAGTTTTAATTTAAGCGATAATGTAAAATATATTTTCGTAATTGTGTTTTTTTTACATTTTTCGTTTATTTATCTATTAATTAATTTATTTATAAATTTTTTTTCAATTTTTAATTACTTTAAACTGCACCAATATATTCTAGTCGTATCGACAGCAAGTATTCCGCAATAAATATTCTTTTTGAAAACTTTAAAAAAGTAATAAACCTTTTTTTCTATTTTGCTTGAGTCTTTTCATTTGGACAAAAAAAAAAAAAAAAAAAAAAAAAAAAAATACAAAAATTAAAAAATAATTAAATAATCAATACAAAGTATATTAGATGATCTATGTCTAATCAAATTATTGCAAGTATGCGATACAATTTTAAACTACGTAATTACTGAGCAATTTTAATAATAAACGTGCTTCCTGTAATTTATTATTTGTAACAAGAAAATTCTAAACAACGATAAAAAATGTAAAAACAAAAAAAAGATGACATTAAAAATTAATATAAAAGTTTCTCACTTTCACCCAAATATTATATATCTACTATATATATTAACTACTACCATATATACATATCTAAATATTAACATAGTAGTGATATCCAAAAAAAAATAAGAGAGATAACGCAACATATAGTTCGCTATATGTATGTGTATCTAATCTAATCATTGCGTATTGTATGTAAAAAGACGTTAGGTGAACGCTCAGTAATCATTATTTGTAAGTTTTATATAGCAAAATGTGTGTGTGTGTGTATATATATTTAACAGCTGAAACAATACTGGGCCGGCACAGCACCATGGAAATAAGGTCAATACATTTAGGTGGTCTATTCCATGCCGAAGAAGAGATACAAATGACTTCGACTATGCCGAATTTCGTGGGTCAAATGCAAGGCTTCATTTTCAATGGTCAGAGGTAAGCAGTGTGTATTAACACAATTGACGGAATAACGTCATCATTATAATTTTGTTTTGTTTTTTTTTTCATCTTCTCTCTCTCTCTCTATCTCTCTCTCTCTCTGATTTATTTAGATATATTGATATTGTGAAAACCTTGGGACCGGAACTGTCGGCATTACCAAGTGCAACCTTTAAGCTAACAGCACGTTTTGTTAACTCACCACCCGGCAATCCCTATCACGCTGCCACTTTTAGATCGAAACATTCCTACGTAGGCTTGCCAATGTTAAAGGCTTACTCGAGTATATCATTAGATTTTCGTTTTAAAACCGTTGAACCAAACGGCCTGTTACTGTACAATGGTGGCCGTCGTAATGATTTCGTTGCAGTGGAATTAGTTAATGGTCATATTCATTACACTTTCGATTTAGGCGACGGACCGGTTACAATGCGTGATAAATCGCGTATACATATGAACGATAATCGTTGGCATCAAATCAGTATACGAAGACCTGGACCGAAAACTCATACTCTTGCTGTGGATGATTCATTCGAAATTGTTACTTTGTCGGGCAGTAGTATGCATTTAGAATTGGCTGGCATCCTATATATAGGCGGCGTGTTTAAGGATATGTATGCAAAATTGCCGGCATCGATATCGTCACGTTCTGGTTTCGAGGGCTGCATAGCATCACTCGATTTGGGCGACACATCACCATCACTGACCAACGACGCTGTAGTGCCGAGCTCGCTTGTTGTGTCCGGCTGTGAGGGCCCAACAAAATGTAGCCAAAATGCATGTGCAAACAGAGGCGTTTGTGTACAGCAATGGAATGCGTACGTCTGCGAGTGTGACTTGACTTCTTATACCGGACCAACTTGTTACGATGGTAAGTGAAAAATATAATTTAAACTTCCCTCTATGTAAGCTCTATAGTCAGAAAAACTTTTGCAAAAAGCCTATCCCATCTTTACTAATATCTCTAACGTCCGTTAGACATCTGCATTTCTTTTTTTATTTCATGTAGTAGAGAAGGAATAATGTAGGGAAGGGAATGTAAGAACAGGGGATTTAAGACTTAAGGAAAAAAAGTCAAAGATCACAAAATATTTATGCAATCTCCGCATGTGCATCAGAATGCTTACGAAAGCATTGCAGGAGACTCTAATGAGTCTGAAAGGGCAAACAATAACCTTTAAGCTTGCGTTGAGGTGTCTTCAAATTCCAAATGAATCAGGGAAGCACGTTGAGGCGAACTTTATATGTCTGGCACCTTGACATTCCGGCATCGAAGGCAGTCAAAGTGCTGAGTGTTTAGGCAACAGTGGACCCCGAAGGATTTTGTTAGATCTGTCATCTTTCTGTAGTGTGCCAAAGAGCCATATCAAGAGGCTTGATATTGAAATGGCACGCACAGAAAAAAAATTGGAAGACAAGTGCAGGGCAACGGCAAACAAAATAGCTTAAAAAATCTTTCATTGGAACTACGGAGGTGCCACGTACCTCTCGTAATTGGTTTTTATTTGACTTATAGTTCCCTCAGGTACTATGTGAAAAAGGCGGGTATCTAGGATACTGATTCATCCCATCATATATTGTGCAAAAGCGCGGCCATCTGCAGAGTCAAACATCAGGGGTTTGGCGAAGATTTAATAACGTCGGACATCGAATGGTGCTCCGAAACAAAGAAGAAGATGCGAATAATAAGAAATCTAAAGCCGGTGGGCTAGGGGGCAGGGACGAGTATAATGGATCTTTTACATAGCCGCCCTAAAATAATCGCCGACGCCGATCTGATTCCCCTTGGATCGAGCATTTCTAAATTTAATATTATCCGCTATTTTGTTGGATTTTCTTTCTTTGACTTACGAAAATTCTTCTCTTTTTTCTCACTTTTGCCCACAAGGCGTATATAAGGTTACCTTTTGGTGAAAGTTAAAAGCAAAGGGATATATGTAAACTTGTAAATATCCTGCAATGCATATAGACAGCTGCCTTGGATTAGGTTAGATCAGTGCTAAATGCCTAGGCAGTAATATCAGAAAATTAGAAGAATTGAGTCAAGTTCCAAAATTTCCTAAAAAAACCTAATACTTTTGAGTTTGATATGAAACTAAAAAATTTCAAAACGATTATATTACTAATTAAATAAGTTTCAAATAATTAAAAGTAAATTAAGAAAATTAATTCGATTAAAAATTTTATACATTTTTTTTTAATTTTCTTTATTTATATATAGAATCAATTGCTTATGAATTTGGCAACAATAAGGGCATCATCCAATATACGTTTCCTGAAAATTCTCAGGCCGATACCGAAGAGGATAATATTGCGTTGGGCTTTATTACAACAAAATCGGATGCTGTACTATTGCGCATTGAAAGTTCGACAACCCAAGATTATATGGAAATGGAAATTGTCGAGGGCAATATATTTATGGTTTATAATATTGGTACACGTGATTTACCTTTGGGTGAGATTGGTACAAAAGTTAATGATAATACATATCATGTGGTGCGCTTTAGTCGTCGTGGAGGTAATGCCACCTTACAATTGGATGATTACAATGTCCAAACTTTAACGCCACAAGGTTAATGAGCATATAATTTTCATGTAGAGAATTATGAAATGAATTAAATTTGGAAAAACAATTCTTTTTTTTTTCTTTTTTTCTCATTTTTTATTTATATTTATTAGGCCATCAATCTACTGTGTTCAATACAATGGCAAATATACAAGTGGGCGGTAAATTTAGTCGTTCGGGACGTACACGGATTGATCGTCCATTTGCCGGAGTAATAGCTGGTCTATCGGTCAATAAATTGCGTATATTAGATTTGGCTGTGGATCGCGATCCCCTTATAACTATACGAGGAGATGTTCAATTGGTAACTGGAGTATTAGATAGAAATGATCTGCAAAGAATGCAGCAGGTTAGGGATTTTATTTTATTACAAAACAATTATTTTTGAATTCTCTTCAAAACTTTTTTCAAGTACTTTTCTCTCATCTAAAATATAATATATTCTATCCGAGACTTGATTCATTCTTTCAAGGAAAATGTCAATAAATTATGACGAGAAAAAACAAAAAA